TCTTCCTGAATCGAATCACTCCTTTCCACGGAGACACTTTTAGGAGTGCAAAATCCCCGACTTGAAACTCGAGCTCGGATCGTCGCCTATCCGCATAACTTTTTTGGCGACTCTGATCAGCTGTCAACAACCTCTGTCGGACCTGCTGTATCTGCTTTGTTGTTTGAAGCACTATCTCAGTGCTACCCATCACTCACTGCCCTACCTCTCCCCAACAAGTGGGAGACCGACACCTCCTCCTATACAACAACTCAAAGGGAGGCATACCAGTGCTCGAATGGTGGCTGTTGTTATAAGAAAACTCAGCCAATGGCAGATATGTGTCCCAACTCCCTCTGAAGTCCAACATACATGCCCAAAGCATGTCTTCGAGCGTCTGAATCGTCCGCAAGAAAGTGAACGCTCTTCGTCAGTCGGTCGATGATCACCCAAATTGCATCGACACCCCTCGCTGTCCTCGGAAACTTAGTGATGAAATCAATAGAAATCTTTTCCCACTTCCATTGGGGAACCTCAAGTGGCTGCAACATGCCATGCGATCGCTGGTGCTCGGCCTTAACCCTACGAAGGTTAAGCACCTCTCAACAAACCATGCTACATCCCTCTTCATACATGGCCACCAATAATCCTTCTTCAAATCCAAATACATCTTAGTGGCCCCGTGATGGATCGAAAATCTCGATTTATGCGCCTCCTCCATCAAGGTGGTGCGCGCTCTGCCTGCATACGACACCCAATTTCCTATGATTTTAGACACCAATTCATTAGCATTCAAACATTCATTAATTCTAACAATCCCATAATCATAAGAATCATTAGGGACTTTATCGAATTCTGAGATTTTCTTCTCAAAATCATAGGAAATTGTATCGATTTTCTCTCTTTCGTAAACCAAGAATGGCAATAACTTCCTATGTTGTTGTTTGCATATTTCAGACGAATAATGAAGTTTAGTTAATTTTGCATACATCCTTTTAGCATTATTACAGTAGATATTTCGTTGTTTCATTAACATAACATTGTATGCCTAACCGACTCCCTATCTAGAGTAATATTATTCACTTGTAGCTCTCGACTGTCTATTTGACTCCACTTAGACTCCAATTTTTTTTAAGAATCTAGCAACAAAGTTTTTGATCACTCAGCTTCACTACTAACAAAGATTAGCATGTCATTAACATAAGAGAGAGTATCATCAAAATAAGAGAAAATAGTAAGATAAGAACTCGGAGGAATGTTAAAATATTCAAGAAGAGAATGTATCTTTGATGTCATAGGAGATTTGTCTGCTCCTGTCGACATGAAGCATTTCCCAGTAATGTTTTCCTCTTCTGAACTACCCTCTTCGAATCTTGCATAGATAGCACCATGGGTAGGGTTTGTCATTTCTTCATCGTCGAAACAGAAGACCAAATCTGGTAGGTTTCATCCCCTTCAACTCCTCCCTTCGCAATCAGTGACAATCCTTTAGTTCTTTCTCTCACCTCTTCCAACCTTTCGACATAATACGCCTCGTCTTTAACTCTCTCCTTTTTCTCCTCTTTCTTTCTCAACATGCAATCTTCTGCAAGATGATTTTCACCATTGCAGTAGTTATAGTTGAACCCTGAATCTCCTTCCGACTTCTTCTCAGCCTTCTCAACAACATTCTTGCTCTCTTTCTTGTCTTCCTTTGACCTGACTCTCATTCCTTTCCCAAATGAGGTCTTTCCCTTGAATTCATTGTTGCTTTGTATTTAGGATTGAAAGGCTTCTTAAAGAACTTTTTCACTTTATTGTTGGAATAGTACACCGTAACCTGATATTCCGAATTCATCAAGAATCCTTAATCTTCATAACTAACTTGCTCAACAACCTCGATCTCAAAATCCTTTGTTGAAACCTTCGGCATCAATGCATGTGGAACTCCCAGATTCATCTTCCCTTCTTCAACCATCTCATTGATTTTGCTCTCATGAGATTTTAGCACATTATACAAGTCTCCCAATGAATAGCCATCGAAGCTTTACTGAGTCTTAATCATCAAGCTGATATATATCCACTCTTTTCGCATACCCATTAGGAATATGAGATTGTATTCAAGAGTTGAACGTGCGACTCCATATCGATTACATTTGAATGTCAACTCATTCAAGCGATCATAATAGAGTTTGATGGTTTAACTTTCCTTTTACTTGAATTCCCGAAGTTCTAGCAAACACTGTTTCACCGAGCTCTTCTTCGTCTTCTCACTTTCTTGATACTTTTCCTTCAAAGTATCCCAGATCTCTTTAGCAGTCTTGCAACTTCTAACAAAATTGTAAACAACTAGTGGAAGAGCACCACGAAGTTTGCGAAGACACTTTTTATCATTCGCTTTTTGTTTATCAACTTGCAAGGCAACATCGGCAAAAGAACCTGTTGTTCCAATTTGTTCTAGTCTTCCTGGATGGTAATTACCACTTGTAACACAACACCATGGATCCTCGTCGATCCCGTTGAGGTAATCCTTCATGTGATCTGCACATTGCTCGTAGTACTATGGAATAAGCATTAGCATCTTAGTGGAAGATCCAAGCAGATGAGAAAAGCAAGACATAGTGTTCATGTTGAAAATTGCCATTGTTGTACGGACTAAAATGATGAAAAAAATTCAGAAAAGGAGATCTAACGGATAAATCTTTCCGAAAATGTTTAGAAAACACTCGATTAATCAAATGATTGTCGAATCGTAACAAATCACTCAAGTAAAACTATTCTTCTTATTTAAAAGTGCGGAAATCTTTTGAATCAGAAAGAATGATTCAAAACATTAGAAAAAGACGAGAAAACCAGAAAAATGATTGATTGTATCCTGCTCTGATACCAAATGTTGTGTGTTCGAATCGAGTATTAAGAACGAAATCAAGAACAGGAAGCGTTAAGAACACATATGTAAATAAATTTTGTTTGGCTCGTTGATTACGTCTGAACAATACAAGAACACAAGAGAGAAAAAGCACTAAGGCTCCAAAAGCTTCCTCTCGACTCCTATACCTACCCTATTTATAGGGTGATATAGATGCGAACAAAAAATATGTAAGGGCTAAAAGTTTAAGCTTCGTCCTCTAAAACTGCCTTACATAATACATACATTCGAAGTAAATAACTTCGACATCGACACTATCCAGGCCTAAATGTACTTCGGCACCTCACTATATATTTCGAACCTTACACCCTTGCCGCTCTAAAAACATCAAAATCGGTCGCACCACTTTGCTTGTGCAAGGAAATTAAGTTTGTTGTAGATGGAATTGAAATTGTTGTACTTCCTGCTTATTAGAGTCCACTTGCTACTCAACATATCGTGATTGCGATAATTTCCATCATTCTTAAAAATAGTCCAAAATTTGCCAGTCACAACTTCCCAAAAAGCGACTTTTCTTATATCGTTTCTCTGAGTGAATTTTTTGATGTCCCGCACCACGACACTGCCAAAGCTTATTCTTTCTTGGTAGTCCACCATGTTGAAGGTTCATCTTCCGATTGCTCCACCTCGACCGCTTTTCCTTTCCTTCTTGCTTTCCCTTTGTTGGCCATTTTTTCCCGACTCCCCCCCCCCCCCCCAAACTCGCATCTTGGGAACCGCTTCATGTGTGGGTGGTGGTTGTGTGGTATTTTTGTTACATATTAGCGAATGTGTTGAAAATGTTTTGTGGAAGGGTTGTAGAGAATTGTAGTGGGGGTGAGGCGGGATTGAAAAAGTTGTCGGAAAATGAAAGTTGTGGTGTGCTTTGGGAGTTAAGGATGTTAGCGTACATCTTATATTGTGCAAAACCAAGAGGAGAGGATGTGTTGTGTTTGGAGGAGGAATGTCGAGATTTTGATCCATATTGTGTTATATGTAAAAAACGAAGTGAAAAATAAAGGTTTGTAAAAATGAAGTTATATTGTGCAAAACCAAGAGGAGAGGATGTGTTGTGTTTGGAGGAGGAATGTCGAGATTTTGATCCATATTGTGTTATATGTAAAAAAGAAGTGAAAAATAAAGGTTTGTAAAAATGAAGTGAAAATGTGTGTGTATATATATATATATATATATATATATATATATATATATATATATATATATATATATATATATATATATATATATATATATATATATATATTATGAGTAAAAGTTGATTTTTTACATTTTGACCATTCATCAACTAATCTTTTTTTTTTTACCATTGCCAAAAAATCCATGCATTTCCTCCCGTTGCCATAATAACGATCAGTAATGTAACACCAAAAAAAGGGAGCGGAGGCGGTGTTTATTAGGTCGCCACGATGAAAAAACGGCAACTCTCGTTGTCCATACCAAGTTGTCTAACGAAAAATATCTTGAATTTGATTAGACAACGTCAAGTGAATATTTTAAGGACAAGATATTAATTTTGTTTTTCTTTATTTTTTCGTACTTGTTATTGATTTAATTCATTATAATTTGGAAAACTTTGAAAATTTACAATAAATTTGAAGAAGCGTTCTTGTTTATTTTTTACGGAATAAAAAGATAAAATACTTTTAGTATATTATAATATAACATAATATTATTCAACAATATTGATATTTATAAAAAAAATTCAAAACTTCAAGTAAATAGTTTTTTTTTTTTTTCAAAAGCTGAAAATCTCTTCTAAATTTTTATATAGTTCTACGCTTTAGATTTCATGTTTATTGTTGGAAAGAACTTTATTTTGCAAATAATTTTCTTTAATAAAAAATACATTATTTACAGATATATTAATTTCAGTTGAATTTCAGAAATTAATATATTTTTTGTTTTTTTATCAGTTTTATATTAAATTTATTTGTTTTATATTAAATTTATTAAAATTTTTCTTTAAAATCAACCAAACACAACAATAGAATATATATATATATATATATATATATATATATATATATATATATATATATATATATATATATATATATATATATATATATATATATATATATATATAACACTCCATCTCATTGTATAAAACATACTCTAGTGTACTGGTTCAGCCAAGAACCAGAAACCGAATGAAGGATGCGAATATCAAGGAAGCGAAGATCATAATCAAAATATGCCGTAGTGATAATTTCCTATTACCTAAAGATATGCCTCATCACATTAGGTTAATATTAAGTATCGATATTACATATTTATAGTATAGAGAACTCAAAATAACTCTAAACAATATAATATATCATTATTCCTGTGTGACCAATAAAATTTAAATATACATATTTTTGTAATCAATAATCCATCGAATCAAGTTCACCTTTATTTAAATTTATCATATATTAATTATGAAATACATCATTTTAATTTGTAGCTTACCAAAACAATGTCGATTATACGTTTATTTAATAAAGAAGTGATGGATACCTTCAAGAACAACATCTACCGGTGGTATCATATCACTCTCACCTACATGAAGAAGCATAGAACTACATCAAATTTGCATCGAGCGTCTAACTAACTCTTTTAATTCACAAAAACTGCTAACACTGTAACACAACAGTACGAAAGGTAAGATTTTTGACTTAATGAACTTAAAAGACACATTTGTTAATTTGGCAAGGTATATATAAGCATTTATGTTCGACTAAATGCACATGAAACGAGTTAATAAAAAAGTATGAAAAGAAGATTCCCGGCATTAAATCCCAATGTTTTAAAGAAATCTCATTGTTAATTTTTTATCCTTTATTTCTGTGGATGTGTATTACTTTTTCAAATATTTTTTAAACACCATTCATACTCACAACATAACATCGCGAGTTAATAAAAAAGTCCTTTATGTAGAAAAAAGGACCTAAGTTGATTGTGACAAATTGTAAGATGCCTTTATTTAGCACATTTTCCCCAATGTATGCAAGATTTTTTTTACACCAAATATGTAACCACCTCTCTTTGTAAGACCAAAACATGCAATATTGTAACCAAAACCATCTCTCATTACCAGCATGTTTTTTTACCAAATTATGCAACTATATCGTGAAAAATAAATCAATATGTAATTGATAAACAAGCTTTGTTTTCGATCCAGAAGGGTGACATACATCAGAATTACCCACAACCTTCAACCTATATATTCCATGGTATGCATAATTTTAAGCAATAAGGATCAAATTATTTTAGAGAAATTTACCATATATATAAAAGTTAAGCAGAAGCTGCAGCATCAACAGGCTTTAATTCCTGCAATTCCTTGAAGTCCTCCCATGGCTTAACCCACACCTTGGCTTCATAAGTTTTGTTCTCATCACCATCCTTTGCTTCAAGTGTAATGTAATACATCTTACCTTGTACTACCTGCTCCTTTGTACTTACTACCTTCACAAACTCCAACAGTGCATTCTGCACAAATAATCCATCATTTTTTTTGTATTTACACCATTTGTTCCAAACTAAATGCAACAATTGGCATTGTACATAATTTACTATGAGTGTTTGATTAAAATCCAAATGTCACTCGATAAGAAGATAAGTAGTTGAATCTTGTGAATCAACATCAATGTTATTAGTATTTCGTAATAACTACCAATTAGGGAAAATGTAAATTCGGATTGAAACCTTACCCAAAAAAAGGCAATGTTTAGTTTACTTTGGAAGAACCTAAAGAGGTTAATTATGTGTTCGTTTTAGGAAGTCAAGTTACCTTTGATATATGACGTAGGGCAAGATGGACAAGCATTATATGGTTATTTTCGATAATCAGAATCATGAGAAATTTACGTATTTTCCGTATATAAGTGATAAAAATGAGTTCATGTCCCACATTGTTTCACCTTTTTGTATGGGACAGACATGTAATGCCCTCTCATCCATAACGTCTTGTTCCCGAGCTTTTATGTAAATTCATTAAAGGAAAGGGAAAGAAAACTTTGACAGAAAGAAAGTGAGGTGAAGGAAAATATTCATTCTTCTGTGTTCTCGAGTTCGAAGGAAATGAAAGGAAAATTTTTAGTTTTTGTGTTCCCGAATTAGAAGGAAAAAGAAAATAAAACTTAAAATTTTTCTTCCCCTCACTTTCTTCCCAAATCCGCCCAATTTGGAAGGAAAATATGACTATAAAATCCTTCCCCTCCCCTCACTTTCCTTCCATTAATGAAACTCGGGAACACGATTTTCCTTCGACACCCCTCATTTTCCCTCTGTATCCTCCCATTTCTCTCCTTAAGTGGAACTCGGGAACAAGGCGTAACTTTTCCTCCTTTCCTTTCTATTGTTAAATAGAATAGATCTACATCACAATAATCATTCGAAAAGGTATAAAATTAAACGACTTGAATCGGTCATGCTCTAATTAATCTCCATACACAAATTTCTCAAAACATATGTATATATGTGGATAGTTGATTTAAAGCCATAACCAGATTCTTCATCTAACATATCTCACTATCCTAAAATCAAATCATAGGGCTCATAATTTTCGACTTTGAAAATGTTGAGGCTCGTTGATGTCTTTACAAAATCATTTTCGTTTTTATCAACTAAAAGTTGAATGATCTAAGATGCTGCAGATGTAACTCACACGCAAGCCGCATACAATCTGTCCACGGATCATAGTAATCGTATATAGATATTTTTAATTCTCATAACATTCACACTCGCATAGCTATATATATTTAAGTAAGCGAATGATTACGAATGTGAAGAAAAATATACAATCCTAAAAAAACCACAATACGATAAAAATTAACATTTAAATAAGAAAAGAAGAAAAAAAAAAAGATATTACCTGCTTCTTGTTGTGTTCGTCCACAGCGAATCGAGCAAGGGTTTCGATCTCAAGGCTGTTTTCGGCGCCCTTAGACTCGGTAATTCCTCCACAAACTGCCATTTTTGTAACAATTAAAAACCTAGCAACGTAAGTTGATAAAATAAGACGATCCTATCCGAAAGATGTTGTTATACGCACGAAAGTAGTGGACAACCTTGAATTATGCTTTCAAATATTGATATGCATTCAATATAATCATAACTGACCACTTACAATTCATTAAATTTCCATTAACATTTTCAGTTTTCATTTGCACCTTTTTCATATAAAAAGGTTACAATCTTACTTTTGTAGAACTTTATTTGTATTCTTATCCGCTAATCACTTCGTTAATATAAATTATCAAAATATATAAATAAATTTATTTGTATTTTTTAACAAATTACATTGTTAGAAAACCCTATAAGTATATTAATACGTATATTGAAAGTTACTAATAACTTTTTTTATAGTTTATTGCCATATATATTAATACAATGTCCAATATGAGGTTTGCAATCTTATTCTTACAAGCCATATTCTCATACAATGTCCAATATGAGGTTTGCAATCTTATTTTCAACTTATCAACTTGAAAAGATGACTTAAACACAAAATTAGGGTTTTCTCTAGAAACCCTAGCAACCCTCAGCTATATAAAGACCCCACCTCATGGGATTTTCGGCATATGCTTACATTGGTAAAACCCTAGCCGAAATTCTTAGAGTATCTCTCCTCTCTCCTCTCATCCTCTTGCTAGTTGTGTTTATGAACCATTAGAGGTGCAATATTTGGGGTACTAAGCTTTCAAGAGTCAAGGATCTGCAAGGAGTTCTTGTTATTAATACATAACAAGTAAGGTAATCATCTAAACCCTATTTATACATAGATTTCGAAATTGTATGCTAGATCTAGGGTTTTGCTTTGGTATTCAATTTGCATGTTCAACTAGTGAAAAACTTATATCCAAAGCAATTAGGGTTGTATGAACACATAGGTTGTTGTTATGCTTAAAACTCTTCATTGGTATTAGAGCCTAGGAAGTTTTTCAGTTAAATTTGATGCAATAGTGAATTGTCCAAAGGAGAAGGGAGCAGATTCGTCAATCTGTTCAGCAAACTCGACGAGTTTATAGACACTAGTACAAAAATGATCTATGTACACACTTTTTGAAAAACAGTTTGTCCTTTTTATTAAAAGTGTGGCCAAAGGTCACTAAAAAAATTTAGAGATTGTTTTTGGATACATTTAAATTAGTTTGTGTGTCCATTATATAGATAATCAAACCTTTAACCACACGTAAGTATGCCAAATGTGAGAATTATTAGCCACACTCGAACACTGTGACCATATGTTACCATCTGCCACGATTACTGATTAATATTATGATACTTTTTTATATGAGATAATAGATAAATATATGGTGACATGAGACAATTGTATATATTTCTGTATCATGGTGCTTTTTTAGACACATCATATCCAATGTAGCTAACAGGTGATACATATAATCATATTAAATATCTGTATGCTCATAGGGTCATGTTTACTAATGACTTAATAAAAGCAAGAAAAAACAAGTTACCTTTAGTGGTTTATGGTCATGTGCATTCTATTATGTGTGTTGAAATATGATGAATTGGCTTAAAAAAACAAATATTGCGAGTATAAGTTTCATTTGGTTATGGTTACAATTATAATGTGTCTATAAGTAAATATAGTTATAGAAGAAATGTAATGTTTGATCAGTATAATTATAGTATAGTCATTGAATGTGTCACTATAATTATGTTATAGTCGTTCTTTTTGTACTATTGTATTTCTAAATTTAAAGAATAGTCTTGATAAAACAAAAAAATAAATGTTACTATAAGTTTTTACTGGTAACTTATTAATGTATTTTGTCTTTCATCACTTAAATCCTCAATAATAATCATATATTGATAATATTAATTCAACAAGTTATTTTTAGTGGGTTACATTCATGTGTGTCAAAATATGATGAATTTGTCTTGAAAAAAAAAACAAATATTATGAGTTTAAGTAACATTCAATTATGGTTACAATTCTTACGTGTGTCTGTAAGTAAATCTAGTTAAAGAATAAATATAATATTAGGTCAGTATAATTATAGTATGATTATTGACTATGTGATTATAAATATGTAATGACATTTTTTGTACTAATGTATATCTAAATTTAAAGAATAGTATTCACCAAAATATCATTTGTAGTCAACGATTTGGTGGATATAGAGTCATTGAGTCTTACTGCATAACTAATTATTAGACTTTAGAACTTTTTGCAAAAAAAAAAAGGCCTTTTGACTTAAAAGTCCTTAAGTTTTCAATTTTTTTTGCCGATATGTCCCTTTGTCGATTTTTGGTTCATTTATGCCTAATATTTTTTATTTTTTTTACACCGCCCATTTAGCCGATTACTCCTTTATTAGTCGATAACCCCTTGGTGACGTGGCGATGATTAATATATGCATAGGACACGTCAACGCCATTAATAAAAATAAAAAAAAAAGGACAAAGAGCAGCAGAACGTTGGTATATTCGAAAATCAAACCTGGAGCAAAACTTTGAAACACTTTCTCCACTAGGCCAATGATCAATTCATGTCCTATTCTCTTAAACCTCATCTATATATCGAAATAAACGTTGTGCTCTTTTTAATAATAATAATAATAATAATAATAATAATAATAATAATAATAATAGTTATTATTATTATTATTATTATTATTAAATAATTATTATTGTTATTATTATTATTATTGTTATTATTATATACGGTTTTAATTGTATAAATCCATTTTATACGCATTTATATATCTAAAAGTTTATTTGGATATATAAAAATACTTTTTAAATGAATAATAAATATTCTTATGGGTATAAATAACATTATATAATTGAAATCATAAGTATACTTTCAAATACGAATTTTATATAATTTTGTACGTTAAAATATAAATAACTTCAACAACCACTTACGATATGTATTTACCATGCGTCTTTACGATACTCATTTACGCATAATACAAAAATATGGAAACAAATATATGCCAAAACAATCAATTTCATCCATTCACATCATATCAAAAAATTGTAATATACTGGGGAAGTATTTGTTGAGAGCCCAAACAGTTATATAAATCAATGAAAGTAAAACTCAAAACTTTTCTAGTTTTCATAATCCTAACAATAGCAGCATCCACCTGCAATATATTTATAAAAAACGTGGTTATAAATTTAGAATTTCAAAAAAATTAAATAAGTTTCTAAAAAATAATTGGACCTGATATTGACAATCTTGGAATACTTTCTCTATGGTGCTTGCGTTTTCTTCCACAGTTTCCTTCAATTGTACAGCATTCACTTTTACATGGAATGGAATGGAATAATGAAATATGCAAGGGAATGGAATGAGTCATTCCATTCCAATTTCATATGAAGTTCACATTCTATATTTGTATAAAAAATTAACTGATCTCACCTTTATATCATAAAGAGGAGCAGTAAATACATCATTAAACATGAAGGAATCATTGTCATCCACGTCTATTTGAACCTCTTCTTTATTCTCCTTTTCTTTTTTCTCTTTCTCTTATTCTTCTTTCTTGTTGTGTTTCTTTTCAAGTGCTTTTTACAACAATAGAGGTAAAGGGACATGTGCTAGTATTAGGTCCTGAAGATCTTGTTGATTTTGTGCTAAGTGTTTGGTGATTGAGAAGCATAGGTCACATATTACATATGAGTTCTGGACATGCAAATAAACTTAACTATGTATCACATAACAAAAGAAAATGAAAGTATGATGTTATAATAAACAAATCAATTGTTAATAACTTTGACATGTATGTATCTACAATATCTTGGGAGCTTCTGATGCTTCGAATAATTGAAAGTACTAAAGTAACCTCTTCCTTCTTTAGACTATTATCAAGCTTACCGCCTTCATAATCACCACCAATTGCCAACATAAAAAGAAATAAATACAATTTCCTGGAAAATAAGAAAAATACATATATATTTTTTTTCATTCAAAGAATCAAATTCAACATGTATAGTATGTTGGGTTTTGTATACTACAACATCCTATGGTGCACGTACAACCATAAAAGCTTTGGATCTACGTTTTCTCTAATTATACATGCAATATTGTTTCAAATCTTTAAGCCTACAACTAACATACAATTGATATAAACAACATAGAACTGAGTTATAGAGTTACCTCTTGGTTGTAGCTTATAGTTTTGGCCTTTAAGAACTCCCAAGTGTTGCACCTCAAATGGTTCACAAACACCATGAACAAATGAAGACTTTTGAGAGAGGCTCCTTATCACAAAAAATCGGTTATCACTCTACTTGGAATGCATGGGGGCTGATTTTGGTGACTATGGGTTCCTTTTATAGTGTGGCAAAGTCTAGGGTTACATCCATGCATATCCTAATGCCAATGACCTTTCATATTACTTAGGCTCCATGGGTTAAAGCTCCATGGATTATCCATAAACTACCATATTGGTTTAGCCCATCCTAAATAACAATTGGCTCATACTATAAAAATCATTGATTTACCAAATCAATCCCCATATATTTAATTAGTCTCTTTTGATCACAAAATTAATTCTAAATTAATTCCTGATCAATGCTAATTAAATAATATGATTTCATATTAATATATTAGAACCCCATAATATATTAATAAATCATAATAACCTCTTCACAATAATCCATCCTATCAAATTGCTCTGGTGAAGGCAACCCAAATGGACTATGCTACTCTCGGTTCAAGTACATACCAATTTTAGTTCTGGGCTTAGACACCTAATCCAACAGTCTCCCACTTGGATAAGTATAATAACTATTATTACAAGTATGACTCTGTAACCCGAGTAGCAATCGTAGCTCTTAAAAGCTATTATCGACTCTGACCTAGTCAATGACATGTCCATTAGATAAGGGATCATATATTTCTCTATTCTAGATATCATATGGACTGAGACATGGATTATAATCATTCTCTCTATCCATCTGTTGTTTCCCGATTTCCGATTTATGACGATTGACTAACTAAACAAATCAAATCAGTCCAGGCTTGGCCAAGCACTTACAGTTGTCATCACTAAATCATTGAGGGGCCTACAGATATCGTTTTTATCCCTTTAAGGGTAAACGAAATGGATAAAATTTGACTCATATGCTTGCTATATCTACTCATCAAATCATA